GGCCCCGCCCCTTCCCGGCTGTGCCTCCTCCCATGGCCCCACCCCTTCCCTGCTTGCCTCCTCCCACGGCCCCGCCCCTTTCCATGCTGGGCCTCACCCATGGCCCCGCCTCTTCCCAAGCTGTGCTTCCTCCCAAGGCCCTGTCGCCTTCCCTGCTGTGCGTCTTCCCTCGGCCCTGCCCCTGCCCATGCTGTGTCTCCTCCCATGGCCCCACCTCTGAGCTCTTGCCCTTGCTGTCCCCTCCCCCTAGTGTGCGGTCACCCTGGAAGCTTCCTTGCTCTCCCTTATGTTGTGAGGTCTGAGTCTGGGTGTCATTTATGAATAGGCCTGCTCTGAGCTTCCTCCTTGATCTCTCCCCACCTGGCTCCGTGTTCCTCCCTGCAGATTAGCCACTGCTGAGATCTCCTGCATGGGCTTCCTACTGATGGAGAATCTCACACATGCTAGAAGGTTTCATGCAGAGGCCCTGGCTGCTCTGCCCAGGGCCTGGAGCAGCGTGGGTGCACAGCAAGGCAGCTCACTGCATGGTTATTTGTGGAACGAAGGGACTGTGCCAAAGCCATGGCTACAGACATACGTTGCTCTAAACATGTTTGTTATAACCATGTAAGCATGCTTCCTTAGTAAACCTTATTTCTTAGGAAACCTCTTTCAGTTTTTGTGCTAACAACCTGGATATTTCTGAGGCCCAGAATTACGGCTGCTCTGCACTCTGGTCGTGGTCCTCTCCTCACCTGACCTCGGGACAGGAGCATGGGCTCCATCTCTGGGCCTCCTGAAAAACGAGGTGTCGACTTGAGTGGCCTCCTACCCTGTGAGGCTGAGGTCATCGCCCACCAGGTTGAAGTTCAGCTATGCACTGAACTTTTGGCAGGCCCTCAAATTCAAACCCAGACCAACCTGTCACTCTCCTTTCCAAAGCATAAGCCACTTATCATGATCAAATGTCTACTCTTCAATCTACACACACAGCTTGGCATTGCCTGTTTGACTGGCAATGGCAATGGGAGACTCTGTGTCTGTGTGCATGCAAGGGTGTGTGTATGTGAGCATGTGTGAGATTGTGAGAGTGTGAGTGTGTATATGTGAATACACAGAGGAGTGAGTGACTAAGAATGTGTGTGTAGGCCTTTATGTGTGTGAGACAGAGTGGTGAGAGACTGCAGAGGCCGAGAATGTGGGTGTGTCTGTGTGAGTGTATAAGAGACGGGGAGTATGTGAAATGTGTTGGTGTGTGAGTGTGAGTGCTACAATGTGTGTTCATGGGTGTCAGTGTGACAGTGTGAGGCTGTGAGTGTATGAGTGTGAGAGTAAAATTGTGTGATGGGTTTGAGGTGGCATGCAAGAGTGTGAGACACTGTACAAGATGCAACAGAGATGAGAGTGTGTATATACATAAGTGTGTAAACATTCATATAGTATCCATGCATATATATGGTGTGTGTCTAAATGTGCAGATGATATATAGTATAATATGTGATGTATGTGTATAAACATGTATGCGGTATAGATGCATGTATATATTCTATACGTGCTACATGTATATAAACATGTACATGGCATAGATGCATACAAATATGTGATGTGTATGTATATACACATGCATATGATGTGTTTGTGTGTGTGTGTGTGTTGGCAGGGCATGGCTAGACAGTTAAAACATCAACTAGGATACTCCACCTGCACAAAAACAAGGCAATCAAAGGAGAACTTCACGTGCTTTCGTGCCATTTCAATGAATGCAGGGTAGTGTTTATATCTAGGACAAAACCAGAGGCAGGGGATAGACTTTAAGAGGGATACACACATGCAAACACACACACACATGCACACACACACATACATACCCATACATGCACACAACTGTACACACATATAAACATAAACACACATATGTACATGCATGTATACATATAGGTGCATAGGTGCATACACACGTGCATATATGTATATGCACATGTATACACAGGCATGCACACAACAGTATACACATATACACAGATGCACACACATGCATACATATATGCACATATGCACACGTACATATATGTATGTGCGCATGCATACACATGCATGCACACAACTGCATGCACACATACACAAACACTTGTGCGCACATGCATACATATATGTGCACATATGTATGCACATGTGCATATATGCATATGCACATGTATACACATGTGTGCAACTATATACATACACATGAACACACATGCGCTCACATGTATACATGTATGCGCACACATGCATACACATGTACATATAAGTATATGCACATGTATACACATATGTGCACACAACTGTGCACGTGTGTGCACACACGTAAAACACGTGCACACACATGCATACATATGTGCACACATGCACAGGCGCATGCACATGCATACATGTGTATACATATATGCTTTCACGTGTATACATGTGTGCATGTATGCACATGCGCATATATATGCATGCATATGTGCATGCACATACATGTATGTGTGCATATGTATGCATTTGTATACATACATGCGCACATATATGTATGTGTACATGTGCATGCGTGTTTATGTTTATGCGTACACAGGTGTGTGCACGTGTGTGTATACATGTGCACATACATACTTGCACATGTGCATGCATGTGCACACATGTATGTGTGCATATATGTGCATGTGTATGCACATGTGAGTGCATGTGTATACGCATATGCACACACATGCATGCACACGGCTGTATACACATAAACACATGTGCACACACATGTATACATATATGTGCACAGATATGTACACATGTGCATACATGCATATGCATATGTATACACATGCGTGCACACACCTGTATACACATACACACAAACACGTGCACACACAAGCATATATATGCACACATATGTATACGCACATGTATATGCATGCATGTACACAACTGTATACATGTGCGTATACACATAAACACACATGTGCACGCATGTATACATATATGTGCACCGGTGCACACATGCACGCACTTACACATACACATCATACACATATGCACACACATACACATGCATACAGACATAAACACAAATACATGCACACATATATGCATGCATATGCACATGCACACACATACACATAACCATTATACACACACATGTATATACACACGCACATGCATACATGTGTGCATGTATTCATCTATACATGCATACACAAACACATACATGCATGCACACATAGATACATGCACACATATGCATGCATAAACACATGCACACATATACACACATACATATACATACACACATGCACACATGTATGCACACGTATACACGTATATGCGTGTATTCACATATACACACAT